CGTATCGTTCAACATCATAAGATCTTCGCTTCTGTTTTACTGGTTTGGTCTTGGGATTAATACTCAAGTGGTGACAGATGATATCGGGAGAGATGCCCGACATATCTTTATATGACCAAACGAAGACCTCGGCGTTCTCTTGCAAAAAAGAGATCAGTGACAACCGAATGGGTGGTAACAAAGTGGTGCCAATCTTCACCATGCGATCTGGATGGTCTTTGGAGATAGAGACATTCTCTAACTCTTCAGCGGGTTGTGCTTGCTGGGTGAAGGAGTCATCTCGAGGGTCGTCGGGTTGACTGTTGCCATCATGAAGATCCGAGTTAGCTTCATCTGAACTGGTCTTTACTACTTGGTTATGTATAGAGAGGGTCTCCTTGGGGACAGGCAGATGTTGTTGCTTAACTGAAGTGTTGTAACATGATCGAGCACTAAGTTGATCTCCCTTGATGTATCCATTGCCGAAAGGGGTTGGAAACTTCATCAACAACATATATGTGGATATCATGGCCTTGAGATCATTGATGCCTGTGCGCCCAAATATGACATTGTATGCTGTCGGGCAATTGACCACTAGGAAGTTAGTAGTAATAGTAGCTATGTAGGGGCCTGTACCAATGGTGAGGGGTAAGTGTATACTCCCTAAAGGTTGTACGATATCGCCAGAGAAGCTTATCAGAGGAGAAATCGAGCGATCGAGCAAGTGTTCAGCTACATTAAGTGCCTTGAAAGCTTCAGCAAACATAATATTGACTGAAGCACCTGTGTCTATCAGGATTCGTTTTACATCAAAATTTGCTATGTGAGCCTCCACGATCAGCGGGTCGTTGTGAGGGTAGATGATACCTCTTTCTTCCTCAGGGTAGAAACATATTGGATCCCAGTTAGACTTTTGATACTTGCCTCCCCTGATGTCTTCCACGTGAAATACTTGATGGCCAGGTCTCAAAGTTCGTTCACTGTTTTTCATGGTCGTATTGGAAGATTCAGACATGGGTGTGCCGCCGCTTATGGAACATATCACATTGACCTGGCGTTGGTTACGGTTATCCCTTGGAGGGTGAAGGAGGAACTGATCAATTTTTCCTTCACGTGCCAAATCTTCAATATGATCACGGAGGATGATGCACTTTTCGCCATCATGGCCATTATACTCGTGGTAGCAACAAAACATGCCTGTGTTCTTCGTGGACTTGTAATCTGGCTGTCTTGGCTTTGACTTTGGTATCAGGTGAGCTATACTAGGGTAAATGGCCGCGCATGTAGCGTTCAAAGGTGTGTATGTCTCATACCTCAGGGTAGGGCTTGTCTTGACACGTGATTGGCCCACTGCGTTGACTGCCTGGGGACGGGCGTTATTGTGACGATATCCTGAGTTATCGCGATAGTGCCCCTTATTCTTTTTATTAAAATGAGATTGGTGAGGATGGAAATCTTTCCTTTTGCTCTGGGATTGATATGTCTGCTGACTTGGTGAAGCATTAAATGAGGCAGGGGGTGTGCTGCTATCGTTTGGAAGGTTGATGTCTTCTCATTTGGTTGGATCTGGCCTCCACTCCCTACTTGCTGATAAGGGGTGACTGTAGGGGGTTTCCCTGATATGTCCTTGCCTCGGCGGAGGCATGGTTGTAAGCTTGTGCCATCACCTCAGAGTAAGTCTTCCAAGTGTTGGCATTGATCATGTACTTGAAGAAACAGTCACGTAAGACTGCCGTGAAGGCCTTGAGGGCGGTCTTGTCATCTGCCTCAGCGCAGCGAGAATACTCATGGCTGAAGCGGCCAGCATACTTTCGTAATGACTCGTCCGGCTTCTGGCGAATAGTGTACAAGTCATATGCGGAATGCAAGCGATTGGTCTGGAAGATGTGTTGAGAGACAAACAGCTTCCTCAACTCTTCAAATGAGTCTACTGTCTCAGGTGGAAGACGACAATACCAGTTTAAAGCTCCGCCAGAGAGGGTGGAGATGAAGAGAAGGCACCGTTCTTCGTCGGTGTGTCTCCGGTATACCATGGTGGACTCAAAGAGGTTAAGGTGTTCAATCGGGTCTTCCCTTCCAGTATAGAGTTGTAAGTCAAGCTTCTGCTTTGTCTTCGCTTGGAGGGGGTGTTAAGGATCCTTCTTGTGAGGGGGCCAGGCCTGGGTTGGTTCCAGTCAGGTATCTCGGCTTGACGTTCAGCCTTCAACTTGTTTACTTCCTCCAGGAGCTGTAGGACAAGGGGGTCCTGAGTGGAGTCGTGCACCACTGAAGTTTTCTTCCGTAAGTCCTCATCGCCTCTTGGAAGTAGGAAAGTTTGATCAAGATAGCGTGATTTTTCCTTGGACTTGCCACACTGACTCCTAGAGTGAGTATGTCGGAATATTTCCGAGTCCCCTGTACCTTCATGTTCTTCTGGGACCTGTTGCCCATTCCCTAGATTGGAAGCTGGCCTGGGTTGTGGAAGAGGACCGAGTTTTTCAGAAACTATTGGGTCATTGATCTTCGAGCTTATGTGGATGAGATTCTTTCGACGTTGCTTTAGGAAGTCTCGACAATCGCGATAGACGGCTTTTGATCCTTCCACTCCCTCTGTGAGGAGGTGCTTTCCTCTACTTCTTCTGCTTCGAGTTGAAGCAGCTGGGTTGAGAGAAGTCTCATGTTGATTATCATATTGATGTGTAGCTCGATCCCTATCAGGGATGTCCGTGTTGGATATCGGTGACCCTCCGTGTTGGGGGGCATTCAGATGATTGTTGACCTCAACAGGGGCGACGAGCTTGTGTGTTTGAGCATGCCTAGCCTCGTGAAGCATCTCGAAAAGTTTTTCATATTGTTCCTGAATGACCTCATTCTTCATCGCTATCTTGTTGTTCTGAACCTCTAGCTCATCGACTTTAGCTTGAAGAGTAACTCTATTTCCTTCCTGCTTTCGTTGCTTCATACTAGGTCCAAGGGGGGTGTTATTCTGTGTGCTATGGCTTCTTTCGCTCCCCATGTCGGAGAGAGATGCTTGGCCAAAAGAAAGTGTACGAGCGGTGGAAACCAGATTGACAAAGCTGAAGAGAGTGGGAATAAGTGTCGTTCCTACAGACGGCGCCAAATGTTGATGCACAAAATCAGTGAGGACTTTGGTACAACAGAAAGTGTCAGGTTTTGTGACCTTCGCTTGGTTGTTTCGGTCACTAGTGAAGATAAATATGTAAATGAATAGAGACAGAGAAGCAAACACAAGATATATGTGGTTCACCCAGATTGGCTACGTTCACGGAGTAAAGGAGTTCTCATTAATTGTGAAGGGTTTACACAAATACATAGGTTCAAGCTCTCCTTTTGTGAGTTCTAGTGAATAGTTTAGTACAAAATGACATTAGAGATTATTGTGGGAGAATGATCCCTATTTATAGAAGAGAGTTTTTAGTTTTGTTCTGACATTGACACGTGTCGCGTTGTGATTGGCTTCTGATGTTGACATGTGTCGCGTTGTGATTGGCTTCTGATGTCGACACGTGTCGCATTGTGATTGGCCTCCTGGTTGAATGGAAGCTCTTCTGGGTCCTTGACGGTATAACGTTGACCGGTGCTCAGTAGTTTCGGGATTGGTGAAGTATGGTACAAACAATATATATATATATTATGGGTCTTAAGAACATTCAAGAAAATAAGGTTCACCCAAAATTGGAAACAGAAAATTTTGAACCAGAAAATGGGGTAGCGGGTTTTCAAATCAAGTCACAGATGATGAAGAAATTTATGGTTACAGTCGAGTTCTTTACTTCTGCTTTTTGGTGGGGTATAAAAAAGTCGAACTTAGTTGTGTGTACCGCATGGCTAGCGCCTAGTGTGGTATTGCCTTTTGGAATCACAGTGGTGCATATGGTGGAGCATGTGGCTATTCTATAAACTAATAAACTGCTTCTCGGCTGAATTTTGCAATTGTTAGTTGAATCCCCTTGTGAGCATACTGTCAGTCATTCTAGTTTGTATGACTAATTTGTAAGGAATTTATTTTGTGCAGTGCAAAGAGAGAAGATTTTGGATAAACAACTTCACAGCGTAATTGAGCAGCTAGAAGCAAAACAGGTATCTCCGTAACTTTTCAGTAATATTTGAATTGTTTTACTTCTCTAATGTCAGTTGTATATGGTAAAAAATGTGTTCATGGTTATCTCGAGTGTTTATAGGCACAAGCAGAAGGCCTGGTCAATGAAATTCATTTGAAAGAGACGGAGTTGGAAAGATTGAATGTGTTGTGGAGGAATCTTGAAAGTAGCAACATAGAAATGAATACTGCTAGAAATAGGTTTGGACGAAGCGCATCAGGAAATGGATCTGCTTCATCTGATTATATCCTTGACGCTCATCATAGAAATGCCGATGGCCGAGCAGAGAATCAGCAGAGGCTCATGCTGCTGAGGTCGGGTTTTGTGCTCTACATTTTAGCTTTGAACATCTTGGTCTTCATCAAGATCTCGTTTTGAAGAATGTTACATGAAGCCCTATCGATGTTTCCAAAATCTGTTTGTATGCTAAACCTAATATATCTTGTATTGTAAAAGATGGAGGGAATGGGAGAACACAAGTGGAGAGGGGGTTTTAAGAACTTTGTTTTATGACATATTCTTTGTCTCAAATATTGAACGTATAGAAATAAAGAAAATTACCTTTTTTTTTTTAGGAAAACTAAAGAAAAGGGCTTGAAAACTTTGAGTTTTAATGATAAGGACAAAATAAAGGGTAAAGTGAATAGTATCATGATTGACTTTTTAGCATAAAAATGTGGTTTTTCGTTAAAGTGAACAATACCGGATGCTTTTCGTTAAAGTTTTTTTTTTTTTTTTTAACTAAATACCTTGTAACTGTTGGTGTGATCAGAGTATTTCCACCGTGTTTCATTTTCGTCCCTCAACTTTTTGTTTTGCTTTCCATGGTCCTCAAACTCACTCTCGCATGGCATTTGATCCTTTCCGTTAACTCCATTCATTTTTCTAGCAGACACCAGTCACCGGAAAAACACGTAGAGCAGTAGAACCCTTATTGAGGCATATTAATCTGCTAATCTTAAATACAGTATTCAGCAAATTTTATAAAAACCAATTTGAGTATAGATAAGATATTAGTCCGGTAATACAACAAATTCATTTTGACGTTGTTGATTGTTAGAGGAGTCTTCTTTCATAGCCGAGGAAGCTGAGAGCGAGCGGATAGAGAGCGAAAGAGAAAGAAGGCAGCCGAAGCCAACATGAACACATTCCAGCCTCTCAGACCACCAAATGAGTTGTTTCCGTTGCTGCAGCAAGCATACTATCAACAAACGTACTAAGAAAGAAATAAATAAGCTTAGATCAACAACAAACAACCAAAAAAAAAAAAAAAAAAAAACCTTGGACTCCTAGGACTAAATTGCGCTCTGCTAAACATAAACACACATACCTGCTCAATCTTTACGTGAACCAAGCCTGAGGATGAAAGGTTTCTTCCTTTTATCAGGCATGCTCACAAATAGCTTTCTCCAAGTTGCATCGTCATGGAAAAGCTTCAAAGCTTTTGAATAAGTATCATCGTCAAGTTCCTCCATGTTGTTCAAAATTTCCAAGCATTGCATCAATTCTTCATCTGCAACATCTTTTGCAGCTGATTGAACATTGTTATCATTACCTTGAGATCCCTTCTTTGAACTCTCGGATATTTCTATGTCGTTCTTTGAGCCATTATTTTCATCTTCTGAATCTGAGGGAAGTCTGCCTGTTGCTGCTGGAAGAAGCATGGGGTCATCCTGCAGTTGCTTTTCTTCTTCTTCCTCTTCCTCTTCCTCTTCCTCTTCTCCAAGTTGCGTCACTAGGATTGCCAAAATATATGAACTTGTGATAGATGCTGATTAATTAGTACTGTCGGCCTCCTTATTTGGTATCTACGATTGGATTGAATATGATAACTCGTTATAGTCAACGTATCTTGTAGGAAGAAGTGGAGTTTAACCTTAGTTTCTTCCTTCAAGATACATTGACACCAAACGAGGCCTTTTTTGATAACGTACATCAATACAAATGCTTTACCATTAAAACAACACACATACCTGTATCTAATTCATGATCATCAAAGTCCCTATCGAGGTAATCGAACCAAGCAATAGCTTCAGGTGAGTGTGGTCTCCAGCAGAGCCAATACGTTCCTTCTGTCGCCTCACGTGATGACAAATCTCCTCTGATGACACGTGGATAATAAGGATCCGTCCACGTGTTGTGTTGCTTACTCGTAATATTATTTTCGTGTTTTTCACACACAAGCTGGACGCCAAACTCCTTCAAGTGAAACACACCTGGTTGCATAAACACTGAAGCAACAACTTCATTGCCACCTAATAACTCACCTTCCAACTTCCAATGGCTTAACCATACCATGTCTTCTCCCTCCCTGGGAATCCCGTACACTTGCGGGTTATAAATCCACTTTAGACTCTTGCTCTTATTCCATACTTTCTTAAATAATGGATTATCGAATGCATAAAAAGAAGAATGTTCGGAAAGTGCATAGACAGCAAAGATGTTCAAGCCTCGAATTACATAATTTGGAGGCAGTGAAGGCACTCTACAGGATATTGAGGTCCCTGCATCACTACTTCTATGGTCAAATCGACCTGGAACCTGATTCCCTGGAAGAAATGTGCTGAATATACCATATTCATAGAGTCCCTATATACGAATGCCATGGAAATCATTACTATTTAACTTTTATAGGATATGAGACAAATCTAGAGAGAGGGGGGGGGGGGGGGGAGAGAGAGGAGAGAGAGAGAGAGAGAGAGAGAGAGAGAGAGAGGTTTACCTGGATGGGACGAGACTCATAGTCTTGCGAAATCTTTCCATATGAAAATGGGACGTGCATCTTAATGGTTGCCGTGGATTCCAAATAATTGCGCAATTCCAACAGGTTGATCATTTCTGTATCAACTTTTCCAATGGGTTCTAGTCTGAACATATACTCCGCCTCAACTAGGCTGCGGTTGTGACGAAACAAGATTAAACTATTTTTGTAGGATGAAAATGATTCATATGTTACCTTTTCCAATGATGTGCAATCAGTCACAAACACATGCTTCACTTTTGGTAGCCCTACAAGTTCTTTAAGACTCTTGCACCCGCCAAAGTTGAGTTCGCAAAGCTTCTTTAGCCCTTTGATGCAACTTGGTAGGCTACAAACTGAAGTGGACTGTAGATTTAATTTTTCCAAGGAAGATAGGTTACCAAGTTCCATTGGAAAATCTTCATTCGAGAGATTGCGCCCGCTAAGACTTAAAGATACTAAAGAACATGGTAAAGAGGTCCAAAAAATATATGAACTTCTCGCAGGCCAAGATTCAATCAACTGCCCACCAGCAGTAAGTACTTGATTCACTGGAATTTCATCTGCTTCAAGCACTTTCAGACACTCCATGTTCCTCATCATGTCCAGTGAAGACTCGTTAAGATTCGAACAACCAGATAAAATGAGTGTTTTGAGTAACTTGAGCTTACCAATGTTCTTGTTCAACATCCTAATACTTTTGCAATCCTTCATATTCAAGTAAACAAGCTTCTCTAGGCTTTCAATGGATTCATGGACATCAATCAGATTCCGACAATCTACAAGAATCAGTTTTTCTAAATTGGGGAAAAGTGAGAAGTCAGCAACACTTTCTCTAAGGTCATGAGAATGACTAAGATCAAGGATCTTTAACGATGGAAGGCACTGTTGAAAAAAGTAATGAAATTAAGAACAAAAGAGGAGAGACGAAACGTTAATTCATTCTTACATATGCACAATATTGAATGTTCAAAATGAGAACCCTTAAAGAAAAGGATGAGGAAAAGTATAGCGTAACATACCTTTGTTCCCCTCCAAACTTGTCTCAAGGAGCTATGATGCATTTCAAGAACAACCAGATTCTCCAACGGAAAATTGATGGGTATGGAATTCAAAGAAAATTCATGCCAACACAACCATCTCAATTCTGTCGGAAATTCTGCATACGATCCATTCAATTGTACATGACTGAGATGGAGTAATTTGAGTTTGTGCATCCTTGTAAATGCCTCGGTTTCGAAGACCATCTCATCCGAATTCATTGAAGTGGTGTCTGCAGGAAACATATTCAGGACAAGACCGCAGATTGTTTGGGTACCCTAATGCAAAGAAAAAGGAAAAGAAATTAGTAAAAGCTACACAAAATAGGAAAAACATACATACAACATTGTTGGCTAAGCATGCTTCTTACATTTTTTTCTCTCAATACTTTGAAAGAATCTTTATGATGCCATAATCTACTACGCTTCTCCGGCTCCTCTGATTCTGAGCGAACAATTTCTCTGCCCATGTCACGGACTAAGTCATGCATCTGAATCTTGCAATATTTGTGCCACTCACATCGATGAATTGTCACTAAGCACCTGTCGACGAGATTTTGAATTCCAACAACAGTGTAGAACTGACACTCATCTAAAATCCTAACAACGCAATCTTTGTCCTTTCCAACAAAGAAACAAGCAATATGGAGAAATAAATCTCGATCATGATTGTCTTGTAAAGAGTCGTAGCTTGATCTGAGTTTCTTCATGATTTGACCATCTGGAATAGCCTTTAATTTCTCTAACGTACTTTGCCATACAGTTATACTTTCCCCCATTAGAGAAGAACCCAAAACTCGAAGAGCTAATGGAAGTCCTCCACAGTGATCTACCACCTCTTCTGAATGTTTCATGAAACCATCAACGGGATGATCTTGTTCAAAAGCATGCCAACTGAAGAGTTCCATAGATTCATTGTAACTCAAAGGTTCAACATTATGCACCTCAGAAGCATGTTGAGGCTTTAACAACTTTGCACGCCTAGTTGTTATGATGATCTTACTTCCCGGATAAAAACAATGTTTCATCCTAAATACCGCATCCAATTGGTTCGTATGATCCACATCATCGAGGATAAGAAGAACCCTCTTCGATCTGATGGCATCTTCAACCTTAGATACTCCCTCGCTAACGCTGTGTATTTCCACATTTCTCCCATTCAAAATATCAGAAAGAAGATGTTTTTGTATTTGTACCAAGCCATTTGGTTGTTCCGAAAGTTCTCGGATATTTTCAACAAAACTTCTTCCTTCAAATCTTCTAAAGTTTGAATTATAAACAGATTTCGCAATGGTCGTCTTGCCAACTCCACTGATCCCATAAAGTACAAGTACGCCAACATCAGTCGATCCATCTTTTAACCAGGAATCGATTCTTTTCGCTCGAGATTGAATTCCAATCAACTTGGGGGAAACACTTAAGGGTGTGACCCGCCTTAGTTTTCCTTCTATGACTTTAACAATCTTTTTGATAAACTTCGACTCATACCTAAAATTTACAGTTCAAACAAAATCATTAAATCTAACTTGTAGTCATGTTATAATTAAATTATGTATTTTCACATGAAATAATATGAAAAAATTATTAAACTTTACCCGTCAGCTTGATTTGGTAACACCATGCCAGCTAAATCTGCAACTTGTGCAAGTGCCGCCCTCCATCTGCTGACCTTGCTGGAAGACTGAGCACTTTGGTGCCTGGAAAATGCTTCTGCAAAACTTCCCGTCTGCTTCCTCAGCTGGGATGGATCGACGTCGTAGAAGACAGGTAGAACTACAAACTCTTTGTTAGTCCTCTTGCGCTCGAGGATGATCAAAAGCTCGTCAAGGCACCATCTGGAAGACGCGTATTCTTTGGAAAACACAATTACACAAGTTTGTGACTGCCGGATCGCTTTCTCCAGTTCCGGCTTGATGTCTTCTCCCCTCTCGAGCTCATCGTTGTCACGGAACGTTTGGAATCCTGCATTGACCAAGGCTGTGTAGAGGTGGTCCGTAAAAGTCTTGCGTGTGTCTTCCCCTCTGAAACTCAAGAACACGTGATAACGACAACGTTCAGACAAAGAATTGGAATCTTTAAAAGCTGCTGATCTCAGAAGAGCCATTACTAACTAGTTGTGTTCATAAAAAATTCAGATGGATCGATCGATCGTTCGAACAAGCAGCTCATCCTGAATGAATGACAAAGTGAAAGTGAGAACCGTACATTTTCCATTGACTTGACTTACTTAAAGGAGCTCATGCAATATCCACCGTTGATATGAAAGGGGTCGCTGATCAACGGACAACGGGGACAGCTAAATAAAGTACTAGTTAATTATTCTCTTGTTTAATTTTTTTTATAACAAAATTTTTAGGTGCTAACAACAAAATTTGACGACAAAATTTTGAAAACTAAATGATGTGTTACTAATAGGAATGAATACGTTTGTCAACTCTTAAGTAATTTAGCATTCTCGTCCACTCAATTGAACTTTCTCAAACCCAATGGGCCTCAAGTTGTTCAAACAAACTGGATCTCATTTTTCATAAACGCCACGAGGGCCCGGATTGCTCCCAACCCGCTTCGTTTCCGGGTCGATTCTGAAACCGCGACACTGCCTTGCCTGGCCATCCACACAGTGAGAGAGCGAGAGGGATGGCGGGACTCCTAGCATGGGCAGCAGACGTAGTGGGAGGAGGTGGCGGGCAAGACAACGAACAAGACATCCCGCTGATATTCACTCAGGAGTAGCAGAAGTGTGTCCTGGACTTGGATCACAAAGCATCTTCTCTCGGCCGTTCGATCCATAACCTCCGGCTCAGACTCCCTCCTTCCGACATCTCTCAGCGCCTCCCTGATCTCCACGCCCACTCCCTGGCTTCCAACGCCGCCCTTGCTCTCCAGTTGAACTCCCATTCCACCACCCGCGAACAGGTTCGGTTTGTCTGAATTTCGATTGATTTTTCTTATCTGGGTCGTTGTGCGATTGTTGTTGAATTGGGATGTTCTGATTCGAATTCGGTCGTTTTCTATCTGGTTTTTTTGTTTGGATTGTAATTCTTGTGTTCAACTTTGAATTGTTGAACATTTTCTTCAAATTTTGAACCTTTCTATTCTGGTTTATGTGAATGTTGATTTGTACTTGTGGACAGGCATTGCAGGAAGAGAATGCTGCATATGAAAGCGCTGTATCCAATTGTGAAAGTAAAATACAGGAGAGAATTCAAGAAGCAGATTTGCTTAAGAGGAAGCTCACAGTGAGCCTTACGTTTCCCACAACTTATTTTTTCATGATGCTCTTATTCATCATGTATTGTAGTCCTACACTTGTATCTTGATCTTTATTTGATGATGTTGAGGACATCGAACTTTAGTTAATGGAAAGTCACACCCTTTCTGAAATTCGGTGATTACGGTTATCAGGAGATGGACGAGAGTGAAGGGAATTTGAGAGATGAACTTGAAAATGCAGAAACCGCATTGGATGCCAGTCGATCTGGCCAATCAGATGAATCCACTGGTGACCCAAATACGACAGTTGAAACAGAAAATGACATTGAAGCTTCAAAGAAGGCTATACTTGAAAAGTTCGAGGAGAGGAAAAAAGACTTGGTCAGTTGCATCTTTCCTTTTGATCTTACAGTAGTTTCATCTTCTCCATTGCAATTGCTTGTTTGTATTTTTGAATTTTATCTTGATTGCTGGAAAGATGTTGTATTCTGTTTGAATTTTATCTTGATTGCTCTACATTTTAGCTTTTGAACATATTGGTCTTCATCAAGATCGTTTTGAAGAGTGTTCCATGAAGACGCTATCGATATTTCCAAATTCTGTTTGTATGCTAAACCTAATATATCTTGTATTGTAAAAGATGGAGGGAATGAGAAGTTTAGAACACAAGAGGAGAGGGGGTGTGAAGAACTTTGTTGTATGAAATATACTTGGTTTCAAATATTGAACGTATACAAATAAAGAAAATTACTTTTTCTTAATCTTATATTATATCAACAAACGTGCTAAGAAATTATTTTACGTTGGCCTTAAGGGATAAATATTCTTTTATTAGTTTGGAAGGCTGTCTTTGCCTTAAGGGATTACTCAACATGTGGGTTAAAAATATTTGCCCTAACTTGCTATAACGTTGCCACTTAGTGCTACGGTCTAATGATATTTATCTTCACTTGTAAGTGAGAGGTCTTAGGTTCGATTCTCGTCAAAAACGAATTTTAACCATATTATTACTAACCCATTGTGAGGCTAAAACCTTCATCTAAGTTCTAGACTTTGCTTCGGTCAGTTTGTCCAATCTAAACCCCCAGATTTGGCCGTACACATGTAGTTTATATTATGATCATGAAATATACATCAACACTCATATACTAATCTCATAAAACGTGAATTAATAACATACTTTGTCTCAATAAGAACAGTGGAGCATTTGAGAATCAAATGCACCGAAACTACACGGTAACGAACAACGAAATTTCGCTGTTGTCGTCTTCAGTTGGGCCATAAGCATTCGTAATATTACGAAGTAAACAACTCACCTAATTTTATATAAAAATATACAAGTAGCCAGCAAACAAGATCAAATTTTTGCAAGTACGTTGTCTTTCTCACCAAGATAATGCTAGCATAATCATGATTCTTCTGAGCATAACTCAAATCTATGTATCCACCACAACTGACCCAAATAAATAACTCTTTCTACCACATGCATCAAGAACCTTTGTTTGTGTGATTAATTATATATATATATATATATATATATATTATATTTACTTTGAAATACACAAAATATAAATGTGTATAAAATGTAAACAATGTGTACATATAACGTTTCATCAAGTATATTTTATAATGTACTCTAGGTTGTTGCAATGACAATATGTCAAGCCAACCATGCGGGTATCGTGTCGGTATTTTAATATTGCAAGAGTAACATCCCATCCCAAGTGCACGGAACGAAGCTTCTTCTTCGCGTCAGGATGGTTTGTGCCCGGATTTCAACATATACAGCAAAATCTCATTCCACGTATCAATGGGGCCAGGCAAGCACCAGTGGACACAGTCAGCAATAGTCATGTTCCGGTGAGGTGACTGTCCGTAGAAGTTTGGATGTCCATCAGGCCTCAGCAACATAGCTTCAGTTGTATCCATTAACCTAAATTCAAGGCCTCTTTTCATACCTTTCTTTTCTGCTGCTTTTAGCTCCTCTACTTGTGTCAAATGCATCTCCAAAATGTACCCATCTAGCTTCATTTCTTCCTTGCTGAAAGGCCTCGTCCTCGGACAATTCCCTCCCTCGTTCCACGCCCCGTTTTCGAAGTGTGACGGAGAAAACGTCCTCAAAAACGTCACCCCTTTGTAGTTTTTGAGATTCCGAAGGGTCCTAAACACTGTTCGGAATGCCTTTTTGTAACCGTAGTACGTGAGAAAAGATTTCATGTCGTCTCGTCCGCACTTGTGACACCCTATGACGCGACCATTTTCGTAGTATATCAGCGGCCGGAAGAACCATTGCCCTGCTGAGACGATGACATAATCGAAATTTTCAACCTCAGTTTCCCATCCCTCGTCGGGCTCGTCTAAGTAGAGGCTCATGAGGCTGTTGATGCCGTGGCCATTCGGGTCGGCATCTCTAGATTTGACCAAGTAGGGTGCCCAGAGAGTTGCCATAGTGAAGTTGTAGTCATGGTATACGTAGCGCTTGAAGTAATCTGTGTTTGTTGAATACTTGTGAGAAACATCCTCAGGATAAGTCACCTGAAAGATAGAACGGACGTCAGTTTCATAGCAGGACTATCTTGGAATTTTTCAAAATCTTTGTGGTGATTTGTAAAAAAAAAAAAAGAACAGACGTCATTTCCATAGCCGGACTATCTAATAGTAATTGAATGCTTACATTGGACAAAAGGCACAGCAAGGACTGCATTTGATTCCTTCCAACAGAATCACCAAGAAATGCTAATGACTTCCCTCTAACAAGCTCCAAGAACTGAGCTGCATCGAACAATGGCAACTCGCAATCTTGGGGCTTCCACCTCCACTTCATGAACTCCTTGTCGGGCCTCCCGAACTTCAAGCAGTTCTGCTGATCAAGGATCAAATTGCAAGTTTCATTTGTGTAGTAAGCAGGTCCATCTGGATATGGAATCCAACTCCCACTAAATATTTGGCATTGGTCTTCATCTTGTAGGGTTTTTAATCCACTGGTAATGTTGCTGTTAGGAGATGGCAATGGAGAAGTTGTGCTGTTGTTTATACAGAGAGGGATTGTGGTGAGTAGAAGTAAGGTGAGGGCTAGAAGAATACCTTTTTTGTAGGTGATGTTTGGTTGTGTGTATTTTGCATTAGGCAGACCAATGGCTTGAAACTTCATGGTGGAGAATTGTGAGGCTAGAAATAGATTATTGGATTCATGAAATATATTTATATATAGGTCCAATAATAATGTGATAATTGAGGAAAATTAGCAACTTGTTTGTTATGGTTACCACCCAAATTATGATGCCACTTTTCTTGTTGAGGCATCCTTTTTCATAATTAATAACAACTTTGGACAAAAAGTAGTAAAGCCACCTTACATATAATTGCATACACATTATTTGGGGATAATTACCTTCTAAAACAGTTACATGTGCACTAAGTTTGTTTTGTTTTTTTTTTTTTTTTTTTTTGACAAAAGATAACATTAGTGAGTTAAATTGTTAGTTGTTAGGGGGAAGGGGAGGTGGGGGATCAAACTAGTGCACATGCATCATGCTTTCCATTATTGTGGTAAAGCGCAATTTGCAAATTTTTCAAATTCTGATGCCGAGAGCTAGTACACTATCTTGATCAACTGGCGTAACTTCTGGCTTAGAATTGGCCCAAATGAACTTGATTTATTCTTTCTTGGGATAAAATCTAGCCAACAATAATTGAGTGCATATATACTTTGACTCATTTCATACGGATAGTCATCAGGTATTTTATACCAGAAGTGTTTGGGTCTGGAGTGGCTTAAGAGTGAAGTCAGAAATGATTGTAAAGTGAAGAGTTCTCAGATTAGGCTCATGGCCTTCACTGTTCATATCGTCAGTGTATGGATTGATAGTGGAATGTAATAGTGCAACTTTGGCTACGCATCTGCGGACTTTACTTATCACTGGGAACAAAATAATGCACAAAATAGTGCGGGTAGTTTATTGAAGGGTAAACACTAACCCGAAATCACATCCTTGTGGCCACCGTGTTTTGTTCCGTTAACATATTTAGTAGAAATGTGATTTCGTTTCGAATATATGTTTTACCATTAACATACGAAAAATAAGAAAAAAATGGTGGTCACTTTCAGTCTTTAGTGACTGATAGATGGCACTAAAGATTGAGTTACTATCATATATGCCACCACTTTCAAACAGTTGCTTGGTTGCTATCACTTTTACCTTGGCAAGCAGGCTGTCCAAACCGTTTCTGAAGTGATTGAGACTACCAATTAAAGGGGGTAGTCACTGCAGACAGGTAAACAAGGTAAACAAGGTAATCTGGTAATGTTGTAACTTGGGTAGTTAATATTGTAATAAGTTATCATTTTTCTGGCCATGTATAAGGAAACTCGTCTCCATATATTAATAATAGTTAATAAGTACAAAAATACACAAGGTCATAAATAACAGTTTAAGATGAGCTAAATATTTCTCTATAATTGTTACTGGGACAATGTATCTTTAGAGTTCATACCACACCTTTGAGCTTGCGGGTACGTGGTACCTCGTCAACACGGACGTCTGCTTGGCGAGCCATAATTTTTCTACCTTCTCAACCATGTTTATAGAGAAGCATTAAAGAGAGCATTCCAATATATATGCACTAGATTTTAAAGATTGGAAGTCTTTCTTTTTTCAACATTACATCTTTGTATTCATACAATTTTCGTTAAGGATAACTAGGTCAAAAAAATAATATTTTTTAGCTATACATCTGGAAACATTATGATTAGATGTTTTACTGTAATAGTGTAACAAAATTATTTTTGCACAGCTTTACCAGTTGTGTAAGACGTCCATCCTTGCGATAATGCCATAAAGTGTTGATATAACAAGTTGATATGTTTTGCTATATAATGAAATATGTAGTTCCCTAATCCATTATCATCCTGTGACCCAAAAAACAGTTGTTCAACTATTATTGACGGTTTATCGACACCATATCCATATTATGTCCTTTAATAAAGAATCAGCATGATCTAGTCCTGAGAATAACGTTTTTACCATATAAGCAACTATGTCAGTAGAGATGTGTGGAAGCTCGCAAAGGAAAAGGACAATGACAGCCATTTGATGCTTTCCAAATTACAAACAATCTGAAACTTTGAACAATATCCATCTGTATACAAAATGACAGACAAATGAGACCAATAACTTGAGAACAAATATATTCGTGGTTGAAGGCCAAAAGACACCGATTATCAAGTATATCTGCCTATCGTATTATATACAATTTCGTTTGCATATTATAATATCAAAACATGTCACCTGCAGCCAGTAGAAATGTATGAAATTGCCCAAACAGATCTCTGTACTTAGAGCTGGCGAAGTGCTGATCAGTAGCTTGTACCTAATTGAATGAAGAATTTCAAAATATTTTAATTGCATGAAGAATGGCTGGCGGGTTTGCTAGATTTTGGTCACTATCGGACCTACCACTAATGGCTTGACCACACACTATATATCCAGAAAAAATTAAAATAGAATTAAAAAAAACAAGGATGTACTAATCCTTTCCAATAGTGACAATCCAGTGGTAAGGATACGGACTGCGGTTCCTTAATAAACAAAAAAATGTGGAAGGTTTCAAGTTCGATGCTCCGAACTGGTAAGTCTGCTTGACTGTGGCAACGGACAAGATGAAATTTCTCATAGTCTTTCCAGGCTAAGAAAGAATGGATAACCGTGACTTCCACTAGTTGT